AATCACTGCTGCAATGATCTGTAAATGGTTGTATTACAGCTTTTAAAATGGATGCACGCGATGCTGGATATTAACAACCATCACATGTACGAGATGGTCATGTAATTACCAGTGGAATCATTGTATAATAAGCATGCAGTTTGAGGGAAAATTGAGTGCAAATAACATGATCAATTCCTGACATGACAATCTAATTTAAAGATATTTTTGTATCATACATAAATCAGTATTTAGGATAGAGAAAGAAACACCATTTAATTAAGCCACACATTTTACATTTTTTCAAGAGTTTTTTTTTTTATTAAATGTTTCTTATTTCACTTATTTTCCTCATATTTGCTGAAAAAATAGAAAAGTAAAAACTATTGGAATCCACCTATTTTTATATTTCAAAAGTGACGAAATAAAGATTGGTCTTAATTAAATCAATCTAATATTTTGAATTTGTTATCTAAAGCTGTACTAAACATTTAATATTCAATTACGTACTTACTTTAAGCTTTACAAAAATTGTAATGTAAAGTATTTGATTTCAAGTAGTTTATGTAAATCAAAGAATTTGTAATACGATTTTCCTACATTAGTTTCTAAGCTTGCCTTCAATCTTGCAATGCCATATGCATTGTATGTATGTCCACATTCTGTTTCTACAATGTGCATCAGTGGATTAGAATTAATATTAAATTTTGATACCCTAAATCTGAAAACTAGGTCTAGAGATACTTTCAAAGCAAATCAAAATATTCACAATATATATAGTTCTCTATAGTGTATTTTTGTTAAGGTAATACAATTCTGTAATCATTTTCACTTTTATCTACATTTTTATTATTTATATATACTGTTCATGTCGGCTTTGCAGATAATTTCTAGTTAACGCTGTAAATTGAATAAGTCTACATGCTGTACACCTGTTGAATTCTACATTGAAATATTATATTATTTGATTATTTCACAAATTGTTAGAATTAAATTCTACAAACATGTACACAAGATGAAACACACCCTTTAAGTTTGGCTTAATGGTGGCTTAAAGGTCCTTAATGGTGGTTTAATGGTTGTCTTTAAGTCACCATTAATTCACCATTAAGCACCTTTAAGTAACATTTACACCACCATTAAGTTACATGTACCATTAAGCAATCTCAAAGTCCTTAATGGGTGCTTAAATGTAGCTTAATGGTAGCTTAATGGTGGCTTACAGGTCCTTAATGGTAGCTTTTAGACCACCATTAAGTCACCATTACGTTACCATTAAGCTAGACTTACAGGTGCTTAATGTCCAAACTCCATTAAGCTACCATTAAGCCACCATTAAGCCACCATTACGCAGTCGATATTACTGTTTTTATGGGTGAAAAATTATTATTATAGTGATTTGTCATCACAAATTATAAATGTCGAGTTCACACATATCTTGATTTGGTAAAAATAAGGGGAAAAAAAAGAAATTAAAAAAAAAATTACCACACGCGGGGCGCGAACTGATGACCCCTACGATTAGGTAGCAGTCACCTTAACCATTGGGCTATCACCGCTCTTGTTTTTTAAAAAGAAAATATTAAACATTTATTTTGCACAAAGTTTGTTTTGGACTTGTAAAAGTATTTATTTTGTTGAACGTCTTCAAAGTCTTGAATTGATTTATTAATCAAACTATAAACAGTTTTGAATTATAGATCTTTTCAAAAGGCTTATATCACATTAAAATTTTTAAACGTTGAGTTCGGCTTTTAAATTGTAATATTCTTCGCTCTGTTATTCGAAGATTTATACATGAAAGTATTAAATCATGATTGAAATTAAATAATGTATAGATAAAACACATAAAAAAAATCTATCATCGGGAAAGACAGATGAAATTTTTTTTTAATAATAAAATATTCTGTGGATATTACCGGTTTTTGTGTCTAAGATTTAGGCCTTGTGACAATCCTCGTTTACGAGTTACCTGCATGGTTATATGTTTACAAAAACTTTTTTTCGAATATCATATTCAGTTAAAATTCTTTTTGTATCATATTGGGTATCAAAATAATTGTCATTTTACAATGAATCATAATTTTTAATTTGTTATATGCTTCCGTTAAATTTAAATTTTGAAAGAAAATAATTGATTATCAAAATCTGTTAGTGACCGTTGTGTATGTATAGTTTCCTGTTAGTTGACCGGGGACGGTGGACACCTAATTAAGGTCTATTGTCTAACCAGTCTGTATACTGTACACTGTTAATCTGTTAATCTTACCCCGTTTCCCAATGTGTATAAATCTGGTCGGATGTCATGTTTAATCTGTTCGGCTGTTCTTCTAAAAATCGATTTTGAAATAACAATGATTGAAGACCGACCAGATATTGACAGATACTTACCGCTGCATTATATAAGAATTATTCATGATGTAAAAGTCAAACTTTGAAAACTAAACATTTTTATAATACCTGTGGCCCCAGCTCGTCCCCCTCCAAAAAAGACTTTTTTTTTCAAGAGAACATGGCTTTATATTCCTGGGAATTCTGTAGCGGAATATTTTGCTTTTAACACATGGAATAAAAATACCATCTCTTTTTTTTTTAAGTAATAATTTATTTTGTGTTCATGTATAAAGATCCTTTTAAGAACAAATTGATTTTCGGTAGTGAGAAATTAAGATATTTCACAGGGGGTTGGCCCGGCGTGTAATAATATTTATTTTTTTAAAACAAAAATCATATACACAAATAATAAAAACAACGTAACTATGTAAATACTAATAATTATTTATTTAATAAAAAACATATGCGGTTATAAGATAAAACGTCTTTTTTATTGATACTGTAAATGATTAAAAAAAAATATTAGAAACCGGGAGCAAGCCCCTGTCAGCTAACTTTATTCTCAGTGCCCGAGATTTGAAATGTTATATAAAAATGACAATGGAGACAAAATTATAGATCACGAAAAAAAAATAGATTTTGCGCAAATGACATTGTAATGACTTAAAAAGTTAGATCAAAGATTCGATATAAAATGCGTAAAAGTTTAATAAAGTTTGACCATTAAGTCACCATTAAGCTCGGCTTAAAGGTGGCTTAATGAAGTTTGGACATTAAACACCTGTAAGTTGTAGCTTAATGGTGGCTTAATGGTGGCTTAATGGAATTAACTTCTTTAAGCCACCATTAAGTCACCATTAAGCTACCATTAAGCGATTGCTTAAAGGTGGTCTTTCGTCTTGTGGTAAAACTAACTCTATGTTTTCTTTTGATTTATTTTTATATACAAACCCTTAACTGTAGTGTGAAATATTGATTATTTCACAAATTGTTAAAATTATATTCCACAAACATGCAAAATTAATTCTATGTTTACATTTGATTTAAATATCTTTGTATGACAGGACATGTCGTGTTCAACAATACTTTCCTTTTTGATAATAAATTGAGGAAATTGATAATTATGAAAAATTACAATGAATTTGAATAGCTTCGATTCGAGATCAGTCTGTATGTTCATGATAGAATGAATTCTTGAAATCTTTCATCGTCCTCTTCATAAATCTGTTCCTCTATTCTTTTGCACAGACAAACAGACATTATCATTCCAATCAACTGAAAGAGAACACCGTCTTTTAAGGATGCTGTGGTCATCAAAAGCAAAATCTCAAGTCAAAATTACTTGGCTTCTGACATATAATTTGTTAAATATTTACGTTATTCTGCTCAGGATTAAAGAGAAATAGTTTGGCTCTCTGCCATAAACTTAAGATTAACAAGCTAACGCTGGTCATTAAATCTAAATAATGAAATTGAAATCACTATCTCGTTTACATATTAATCTTCTTGCTCTACAGATAATCAATACTTGCTCTTACCAATTTTTATGCAACATCGAGAAAAGTTCACATTTAAGAAAGAAAAAACAAAATGCAGAATCTTGATTTTTCTTTAGATTCTCTCTCTCTCTCTCTCTCTCTCTCTCTCTCTTGTGAAGAAAGATAACTCACCAACAAAGAAGCTGAAACTGTTCCTAAAATCATGGCCAGCCAGAGTTTATTTTGTACAATGCTTAGCAGCACTGTCCAACATCCCTAAAATTACATTATTTTTGTATTAGTATTATTGATGTACAATTTAACATTTATTTTGCTTTCAAAAAAGTAAAGTATTTGAGATTATAGGTTTAAGAAGAATAACCAGATCATTCACTAGAAACTACATTTGAACTTGCACATGTGCTATGCAGAGAGGACGTCGGTATATTAATATTAATTTTCGCCATTTTGTACTTACGACCAACTCGACCCCGTTTAAAATTCGTTCAATCATAGTTTTGTTTAAAGACACTATACTGTATTCGTGATTCCGCCTCGTTTAAAAAAATTCACCCACCTATAATAAGGGCGAAAATAAAACAGGAGCAAAGACACCCCAGATAAACAGTATTTGTATTTACCTGAGTAAAAAGTTGGTCATTCTGCATTATTAATGAAACAGGAGGCCCCACCACAGGGGCTGTGTATCTGTTTTGTAGTCCTATACATTTGGTCACGTTGTTTGTATCATATGGATATTTACAGCAGCTCTCCGGTACATATTGTAGACGTCCTTAAAAATGAGAAAAAGTGAAAATCAACAATGTTTAATTATTGACAAGTAAGCAATCTGACTGACCTTGTCAATGCACCAGTACATATTTTTCTTTGTGTCAGTAAAATTCAATCACAGCCGAAGGCTCAAGAGAGCTTTTGTGATCAAAATTTGTCCGTTGTCTGTTGTCATCGTTTTAAAATTCTCACATTTTCACTTTCTTCTTAGGAACCATCTGGACAATTTTTACCAAACTTGCCATAAAGTTTCCTTAGGTAAGGGAAATCAAGTTTGTTCAATTGAAGGGCCACGTCCTCTTCCAAGGGGAGATAATTATGAATACTATTAAGTAAAAAATAAATGTCATTTAAAAGAATCTTCTTCTCAAGAACCACTGGGCCAGAAAAGATGAAACTCATTTGGAAGCATCCTCAGGTAGTGCATATTCAAGTTTGTTAAAATTATGACCATCGGGGGTAGGGCTGAGCCACAATGGACAGACTAGGTTTTTTTTTTGTATATAGGAATGTATAAGGAAAATCTTTAAGAATTTTCTTCTCAAGACCAGCAAAGCCATGATTGGTCATTTTATATGGATGCATACTCAGGTGGTGTATAGTCAAGTTTCTTCATATAATTTACCCTGGGGTATAGGGTGGGGTAACAATGGTTGATCAAAGGTTTACATAGGAATATATAGGAAAAATGTTCGTCTCAAGAACAAGCTAGGATTAGTCTTTTTTATATCGAAGCATGATCAGGTGGTGTGTATTCAAGACTGTTCAAATCATGACCCTCAGGGGTAGGGGGGGTCACAATATATGGTGGGGCAAAGATTTTTTTGTTTTTTCCTAGCCAGTGCTCAGGTGAGCGATGTGGCCCCTGGACCTCTTGTTAATCTTATTTACACATGCGTTCAATGTAAAAAATGTTTTCGCTCACTAAGACTTGAAAAGATTTTGATGTTTCACATAAAAGATTTCTGTGGCAAGCATGGATATTTATTATGAACTCCCAAAAGACTGTCATTTCCATTAGTAAATTACTGTGATCTACGAGCCCAGAATTTGCATAATTACGCTTATCCGTACGCGAAGTTTTTAATGCAATACTTTTTCATTTTTAATGAGACTTTATCATGAATATTGCAAATCGATTTTATCAAAATGTTTCTTAAGATATCAATTACTTCAGGCAATACTTACTGTGAAAAATCTAACAAGAATCTTCATCTAACAATTTTTATTGAAAGTACCGGGTTTGACCAAGAAGTGAAGAGTATCCTAATTAATCTTATCTACATGTAATTTTGATTACCTTATGACACAGACTTTTAGGTCTATTATGAATCTTTAGGGATAAAAATTCTTACCTACCGTCTGTACTTGGTTTTTATACCAGTCCGTAGATAGTTTATAAAAAGACCAGGAGTAAGTTGAGTTTTCATTTCCTTCTATTCCGCAACAGTGTAGCTGAAAATATTAATAATTAATGTTTAGAAATGTTCATAAGAGCAGTAGATATATATACATACACCAGCGCTTCACCGTTTACAAGTATAAGAAATTAAGATTTTTTAAAATTAGAAAAGGTAGATTTTAATTATCTACATCTTAAAACATCCAGTTTACTTTTTTTTAATTTTTACTACGTAGAGTAAGTAAAAAATATTTTGACTTCTAGTATTAAAATATTTTATAACATGCATCACAGGAAAATTTCACTTGCGGTGAAAGTTATATATTTAGTACATGCTAATGATCATACATATACAGTATCAAATAGAAATGCTTCTATAAAAAAATCACTGAACTTGAAAATAATGATACAAATGATACAGATGCAAATGAAATGGTGATTCGCCTGTGTATTTGTGTATTACTGTGGATTGTAACTGGTCCCACGCATGCGTGACAAAGTTATCCACGCCGTACGAGTTGTTAAGGGATGTCTCCATTTGTAACACGATAGAGGATTCTATCTAAAGGAAAAATGTCATTATTAATTATAGAAATTCTTGAAGAAAACGTTTAATGAAAAGTGGAAGTTTATTGAAAAAAAAATTGTAAACTTAAACCTTTCATAAATTTGACTTTTCTGTTGAACATTTCCTATCAAAGAAATTAAATGAGAAAGTTAATACAATCAATTTTAAAAAAAATACATATATAACTAGTTTAAGAAAAGAAATATTTTACACTTCTTTGAGGAGCAGACCGTCTCTGCATTCTTGAATCACAATACCCGTACCTAAATCTAGGATCACTCACCGTTTCTTTATATTGGTAACCAAGGACTCCTCCTACCAGTAATGCTAGGAACAAACCAAGAAGGAGAAGAAAGTGCTTAAAAGACAAAATGAAAAACAAATCAATTCAGAAGAAATATGCATATTTTGAAAGTAAATTATAATTAACAGTATAATTAATTTCATTTGAAAGACAGATCAAATTAGAAGAAATATGCATATTTTGAAAGTAAATTATAATAACAGTATAATAAATTTCATTTGAAAGACAAATCAAATTAGAAGAAATATGCATATTTTGAAAGTAAATTATAATAACAGTATAATTAATTTCATTTGAAAGACAAATCAATTCAGAAGAAATATGCATTTTTTGAAAGTAAATTATAATAACAGTATAATTAATTTCATTTGAAAGACAAATCAATTCAGAAGAAATATGCATTTTTTGAAAGTAAATTATAACAGTATAATTAATTTCTTTAAGTTATTCATCGCGTCGACAGTTTAAGGCTTATTTTGCCAAACTACAAGATGGACTCTACCTATCTAGATACAATTTTAAGGAATATGGATGCATTTCAAAAGTTTTATTGAATAAAATATAACGATAACAAACAATATTCATGCTCACAAATCTACATTGATAATAAAATAAGACATAGAGCAAAAATAAATAATTATGTACAAATATTAGAGGTGGGATCAGATGCCATATGGGGGAGAAAAGGTTTCCAACATTAGGTTCATATGTTCCTTAAGGTATATGAAAATACATGTAATCTTATTAATTTAATAAAAAAAAAGGTTGTTTACAGTAGATTGTATCCTTGAAAAGATTTGTTCCAGGAAGAGAAACCTTACCATGGTCAACATGCCTCTTATTTTCTTGATGGCACCACAACAACCAAGAAAGGACACAATGATACAGACAATGGCTGTAATTATCAATATCCATGGAACGGAGAGATGTACATACTCTAGAACTACTGTCAATATACCAAACAGGGATATGCTGTTATCCTTTAAATAGCTCCCGTATCCAAGAAGTGCACAACCTCCCAGCTGAAAATTACGGAGAGTTTTGATGACTTTATATATACATGAATAGTTTATATACTTTAAATAGACATGTTAGAACTGATATAACGGTACATTTACTCTATAACTGTGAGGGAAAGCCCAGTGGGGACGTACTGTGTATCTTTTTTTAGTGTAGGTTCTTTTTTCAACCTCTCTATAATGATGTTTTAAAAGATTGTACCATCATTTTCAGAAAAATAATAAAAGCGCTATAAATAATATACATTTACATAGATATACCGGTGTAATAACAGCAATCAGACAGACTGAGTGATATACATTTACTTACAAATGTCAGAAGGTTGAGAATAAACATCGTGTACTTTACAATTTTTCCACAGCGAGCTAGCCCCATTCTACAAATAAATTGGTTGAAGTATGTTACAAATAAATACATTAAAACATTTCATGTAGTAAAGATGAAATCGATGTATTTCTTGGAATAATTATATAATTTCACATCTAGTAATGTTTAACGGGTATACAAAGAAAGCAATAGAGAGATACATCAAATTACTTTATTACAGGTTTCAATGAAGTTAACTTATTATGTGTTTACTTCGCAACAAAATTACTTGTTTTCAAAATAATACATTTGATTTCACTTTTGCGAACTTTATCATGCTTATAGAGCCACAATTATAATGCAGATATTTATATAATTATATATGTGTTAAATAACACATATAACATTCATTTAATAGTTCTTTCGAGAATGTTCATCTAATAATTTGAAAAATGAATAAAAAAAAAAAATTATTTATAGTAACAAACATTGAACGTTTTACATACCTGTTTCAACCTCTGCATATCTATATTACCCCGAACGCTCCAAAACCTCTCTGATTCGATACAGTGTTTAATAATGTAAAACAATTTTAAACAGCACGGCTGTAACAGTTTTTGATGCTAATTCTCTATAATAAGCTAAAACTCCCAGGGTCGTTGCCATGGAATCATTCGTCTGCAGCATCTTCACAATCAATGTTTATCTCTTATTTCGTGTTTTGAGTGCATCAATACTCACTTGCTTAGCCGCTAGGAAAGTATATTGTTTATGTTAGCAGAAGTGTCTGGACAATAGCGCCTTTTGTTTTTGTAATCACCTCCGCAGATAATAGATACGGCTGATGTAATGAAATAATACGATACTGATCAGAAACAAAATGCAGAGCCAATTTCTCTGCAATTAAATTTCCGACATTGTTCTTTTTCAAAAAAAAGTTTCATTTTGGTGTATTTCTACTATACCTAGATGCGAGATAATTATGTAACATACAAGAAAAATATGTAAATTGCAAAAAAATTATGTCCACGTGCATGATATTGTATCAATATTTTTTACCAATATTTTCTAAGAATATGCATTTAATGTTGGTAAGCTTACTTACTGACACGAGTATAAGATGTAAAAGCAACAGAACTAGATATGATCTCGTTGTGAGCAACGAGTGGGTCTTCCGTCAGATTATTGATAGGATGTGATAAGAATTAAATTGAGATTTTCGTACAAAAATAACAACATTCAAAATTGTTAAGACGAACAATTTTTACCCCAGTATTGTGTAAAAAATATAAATATCATTTAAGAGATAAAGATAAATAAGATATTCTTGGCCCATGTTTTGAGGGGTCAGTTCCTTGCTTTTGACAAAACTTTACGTTCTCATGATTTTTAATACAGTTTGTCCAACAAACAATTGTTAAACAATTGATATTTAAAAAAGAGGAACCGGATCCTCAAGTGCTTAATGAGAACGTTTAACAAAAGTTTAAATATTGCATATTGTTGAAAAACAATATGTTGAAGTCTTTTATGGAGCATTATTTACCAAAATAAATAATATTGACAGTTCACTGAAGTCCATAATAGTTATATTATATAATCACTCAAATTGAATGCACTGACACAATCCTAACGGAACAGACTCGACTGTCATTACGTCACAATGATTAAATTCACGCTTTTTATATTATGACGTCACATACTACGTAACTTTAGTGCAACCGAACGGCGTGTCGTGCGATATTATTTTCCGCGGACGCGCTTTCGCATCGATAACACAAAAAGAGGAATATCACGTGATGTACTTTTAGCTAATGAAATGTACGAAGATAATCTTTTTGTATAATATCATTTTGTTTTTCAACACTAAAATATCAATATTGATATTATTCTTACTGATGAATAATATACAATTATGGACTTCAGTGTAGGTCGATATGTGGTTATAAGGACCCAAGACATTTGATATTGACCGAAGACACAGAAAGTGATAGCGACCTGGCCTGCGAGGTCGCTATCATTTTCTGTGTCTGAGGTCAATATCAGTTGCCACGAGTCCTTATAACCACATATTGACCGTTCACTGAAGTCCATAATAGTTATATTATATATCACTCAAATTGAATGCACTGACACAGTCCTAACACAACAGACTTGGCTGTCATTACGTCTCAATGGTTAAATTCACGCTTTTTATATTATGACGTCACGTTCTACGTAACTTCAGTGCAACCGAACGGCGTGTCGTGCGATATCATTTTCCGCAGACGCGCTTTCGCGTCGCTATCGCAGAAGGAGGAATGTCACGTGACGTCCTTTCAGCCAATGAAAACTACGAAAATAATCCACTTATATAATATTATACAATTATGGACTTCAGTGTAGGTCGATATGTGGTTATAAGGACTCATGGCAATTGATATTGACCGAAGACACAGAAAGTGATAGCGACCGAGCCTGCGAGGTCACTATCATTTTCTGTGTCTGAGGTCAATATCAATTGCCATGAGTCCTTAATTATTACCACATATTGACTGTTCACTGAAGTTCATAATAGTTATATCATACAATCACTCAAAGTGAATGCACTAACACAGTCCTAAATAAACAGACTTGGCTGTCATTACGTCACAATGGTTAAAAACACGCTTCTCTTACTACATGTATGACGTCACGTTTTACGTAACTTCAGTGCAACCGAACGCTGTGTCGTTCGTTATCATTTTCCGCCGACGCGCTTTCGCGTCGTTATCACAAAAGGAGGAATATCACGTAACGTCCTTTCAGCCAATGAAAATTACGAAAATAATCTTCTTATATAATATAAAACCATATTAAACACCAAAAAAGTCCTTAATTGTTTTATTATATAGTCCGGATTTGAATATATAAGACATTGAAGGCTGCATGACGACAGCATTTTCATTTACCAATTAACATCCGTCGTTGAAGATAAAAAAAAAATATTCAGATTACCATTGTAACCGCAGTCCTTTCGTTTTCGAGTTTAGCTCTGTGTAAGACGCCCAAATGTTTAAAATTAAATACAAGTTGCCGTCCTTTAAAAAAGGATTGCAATACATGAACCATATGCACGTGTTTCTCACCAAAATTGAATTTAAGAAAATATCTAGGTGTTATGAACATTCATGTAGGTTTGTTCACATTTACTTCACTGATCTCCCTTTTTGCCCATGGTGTCCGGTTTAATCTCGCTTAATATATAAATATTTTCTGCGTGGACCCCAGGGTCCACGAAATAAGTTATTCTTACAAATTTTTTGCTCAGATACATAGCTTGCCGTGGCAGTTGCAATCATTGTTTACCAAGTTATTTGTATACGTTTTTGACATAACTCATTGTGACGTAGGCAAGTTATGTTATACGAAATGGATAAAACCGTTTAACCAATCGAATGACGCGTTACAACTAAAATTAAATTATAATCTAAATAATGCGTATATTACTTTATAACATGAATAAAAGCGTAAGATATATATATATATATATATATAAGAAATAAAATATCATCTTTTAGAGTTTCAATGGGGTATTACATAAAGTCGGTACGTGATCAAATTTACTATAACGCCCTTTCTTTTTGTGTACATTCATTACAGTTACATATGACTTCACAAAAAAAAATTATTAGTTTTTTAAGGTCTTAAATATTTGTGCTGCAAGTCTTTAGAAGATATTTAAAGTCAAAATATTATTTGCTTAAACATGATTTATTATTTTTTTTTATCATAGTATTCTTGCTTATTAGCCGCTTTAGCCACACAATCTTCATTGCTTTAAATTCTTCATCAACAACTCGACAATTAACTGGTACAGGTGAAGTGTTATAAATAAAAAAAACTTCCCTATGATCGTAGATTATAATGCATAAAAATATCACCATCGACAGAATCAATCCGAATTCTCCCTTATAAATTTCATTTAAAATCATCTATTTAACATTGTTTTGAAAAATACTGGTAATTAAACTGCTGAAATTGTTTGCTCTTTGACCACTAACCTTCCGAGGCAAAAGCATAACCAGGTCAATAGAAATATCTCCCTCATAGCTACTCCCCCTCGTAGCTTCAATCAAAATCTGTAAAATAATACATGATAATAAATATGTAGCTCTAACAGAAAAAAGAAAACAGAAGATCTCTTAAAGCTATTGAATGTTTAAAATATTTAAAAATTCTTTAAAATAGATTAGATACCGCAGGGATTTATTCTTATCTTCGATATGCATTATCATTTTTCTAGATACAATTAAGGAAAAAATTCGATTTGAAAAAAGCAGCATGATTAAATGAATTTTATTTACTGTAAAATCATTTGTTTTCATGGGAACAACTTTTCGTGGTTAAAAAGTAATTTTGATTCGTGGGGATTCGAGTGTTCAGTTGTTATATGAATCTTAATATTTGTGTGTGTGTGTGTGGGGGGGGGGGTTCGTTGGAATCTCCATACCTAGAAAGCAACAAAAGTAAGAATCCTAGAGAAAACAAATAATATCAAAGAACATTAGTGTTGACATAAATTTGTTTTTACCTTGGTATATCCATTCAAACGGACATTAAGACTGCTCATCTTTTTCCACTTATTTCCTTGCTCACCAGATAATTGTTTTAAGACAACAGGATTATTAAATATTTCTTTAGTTTTGATTGTAAGATTTCCAACATGAGATCCATGCATATGATAAAACAAGTAAAGGCAGTACAATCTCTCTGAAAAAAATATACAGCAGCTTTTTAGAACTTGCTTAACTCACTTTTCATTTTATGTACACTATAATCAGGACAGTAAAGAAAGAAAGTAATATTAATTATCAAAAATCACGTGCACAAAAGAAAGAAACTTAAGGCTATGAAAGGATAGTGACACACATGTACAGATTTACTTAAACTTTTTCAAATAATTTTGATAGCGGTTGGGATGAAAAATTGATATTGCAACCGTTCTTTGTTTTTGGATCGTTTTGAAAGTTTGATAAGATGGTTTTTTTCATATTCAATGTGCAGTAGTATCAGAAAAAAACTGATGAGTAATATGGAATACTTTTTCATTAAGATATATTTTCATCACTGAAAAAAAAAATCTCACTTGTTTATTTGTGGTTCGTCTCAAACTTGCATGCAACAGGTTTAATTTTTCAATTAAAACATTCGATATTAATAAAATATTTTTTGATACATAAAGGCAGAATCAAGTTCTTCAGTTGCTTAAAGAGCAATCTTTCTCTCGTATAATTAAATCATACAGTGTATACCTTCATTCTTCAAACTTCATTTATAGATTATAAGTCCGAACGGAAATTGAACAACTATTGCAATTGGTAAACAAAAAAAAAAAAAAAAAAAAAAAAAACGCAACTATCTAACATCAAAAAGATTACATTGTACCTACAGTATATATCAAATGTTCTTACAGTAATTGTGAGATATAAATATACCTTGAAACGTTGCTTTGCTCTCCAGGATTGCATTATCCCCTAGCTTTCGCGGACTGGAGGTTTCAATATAGGTATAAAACCTTCCATGATAGGCTGAACTTGGTCCTGTATTACTAGAACCTGTAGACCCCTAATAACACAAATATCGTCATTCAGACATCATGACATCCTGAGACGAAATGAGGCAACGCAAAACTTATGCAAGAAACGATCATGGATTTAAAGGGACATGGACACATTTTCAACTGAATTTTTCTAAATCCAGTTTTATTGTTTACAATTCCTAACTAAAGCAATTCAAATGATCAGCAAAATTTGAAGATCATTTGCTGATTTAATTTACAAAGGAAATTCAGAACATAAAACCCTTCAAAATGTAAAGAAGGACCCTGCCTTGTTTTTGTTTACGTATAGAAAATATCATATTTGTAACAAAACGAGTTTCAGCTAGAAATTGTCTAATTTTTTGATTTAGAATTAACTACTTATTGAAAATAATCTGCTTTGATCGAACGGATACAAGTATATATGTATTACTCCAAAGTGCGATGGGACTCCAAAGTCCGATGGTCACGCCTAAGTCCGATGGTCTGCGCCAAACCCCGATTGTCTGACACGCCAAAGTCCTATGGTGCTGAAATGAATTAACGTTTATGACGTCATAGTAGCACTGCGCCAAACCTCAATACCGGGCCATGCCAAGGTCTTTAAAATAAGTATAAATAAATGGGAAAACTAACCCTTATCTCTCAGATAGGTGCGAGACTAATGCTCGAAAAGTGTGTATTAACAATAACCTAAATATCTTGAGTGGGGGCAAGACTAACCCTAATCACTCGACTAGTGTGCGAGGACTAACCTTAATTCACTCAGGTTGTGCAATGCAAGGACTAATCCTAATCAGTGGAGTGGTGTGCGAGGGCTTCCCTCATATCTCTGGAAGGTGCAAGCAATAAGCGAAATAAATAAAATTTTATTCGAGAACAAATTCAGAAATGATTGCTTTTGAATGCAGGAAAACGGCTTCGAGGATTGACGTCAGATTATTGTGATGTCATAAACGTTGATTGTTCATCCGCACCATCGGACTTTGGCGTGTCAGACCATAGCACTTCATCGCAACGCGTCTCATAGGAAACGAACCATCGGACTTTGGCGTCCGTAACGACAGATAGCCATCGGGGTTTGGCGCAGACCATCGGGGTTTGGCGTCACCATCGGAATTTAGAGTCTTACATATTTAACTTATGAACAGAAATATGGAATAAGCCCCATTTACATAACACAGTATCTGCAGCTGCTCTCTGCTTTATCTGTCCAATTTTTTTCAAGCAAAGAACTACAGTTCTGCATCTACCAGCTGTATTGAAACATTTCAATACAGTGTATATTGAAGTAGATTATTGTTTTCAATTTACATGTATGATAAAAGACAAATAATTTTATTATTCTTCTGCATCTCAATTCCAAGTGAAAAAAATTAATCAGGCACTAAGAATTGGAAAAGAAGGATTATTGCCCCTCCAACCCCTTCTGGATATAAATGCAGCCATTTCTTATTTGGAAATGTTCATTAAAATTCTCGTTACCCTATTTTTCAAACAGTATAGTTAAACGATTTCTCCTATTTGAAAGAACAAGGTGAACATAACATTCAGGCGGGTACGTATCATTACCGCTACATTTTCAAAATTTTCATTACAGCTACATAGTCATTACCGCTACAAAAAACCTTACGTTACCGCTACATAAAAAAGTATACATTACCGCTACATTGCCTCTTTTGTTAGCCAGCCACTTAAGCGTATACAGTACAACCTATACATGTACATGCATAAGACCCGTTCCTTCTGCTCACCACGGGGAGTTGAAAGTAGGACTTTGAACAGGATGGGGCTTTTTTAATTTAAATCAACAAATAATTCGTCGAGGTCTGTTTTGCAGAGGCTTTTGCAACTCTTTTTAACGCATCTCCATTTGTAACAAACTTCTCAATGGTGTCCATAATGTTCAGATGACGCTAAATAATTAAATTCCGACTGCAGAGTTATTTATATACGAGTACATACTCATTCTGATTAGATAGTGAGTGAATTCTGTTGATTAGAACTCATGGAAACCGAACTATACCTGGCTAAATCGATATATAGCGGGAATGAGTTGTTTTTGGCTGATTCAGTATGTAGCGGTAGTGAGTTGTTTTTTGTCGGAAAAATGTAGCGGTAATGATCGGTCGAAAATCTGACAAAATGTAGCGGTAATGAGTTGAAATTTTTGGCAATGTAGCGGTAATGTTGACCTCCCATTCAGGCACATAGAATCCATCTACCCATATCAATGGTTTTGATATGCTCCGCTTCACATGGAGTGGAGCGGATCAAAAACCTTGACTTTTGAGGATGAAGGAATCAAGAGCAGGTTGGGATCTTCCCCCTTATTTTTCCAAGTACGTATTTATTTATTGTTTCCCTCATTTTTACCACGAAAATGTTCATTGCAAGTATGATTGCATGCCCTACACCCTCAACGTTTTGATACATTAGAGTAAAATAAAAATCCCTCTGAAATTACTTTATACTTTTTGGGGGTCTATCAAAGAAATTTCTCGTGTAATTTTTCATTTTGCCTCCTATTATGCACCATTTCCCTTTTCATTGCTATGTCTTGATATTCTCTTGATTTTTTCTACAGTGCACCAATATTAGATTTCAAATGAAAAATTAATATTTGTTATGCTTATGTTTATCCGATTCTCTCATTGTGCTCGGCTTCGACTTTTTTAAGGTGGAAGCACTTTTTCTACAAGGAAAAGGGGTTAATATTTATTCGACGTCGAATAATGGCCGAGGATGATTTTTCGCTGTTGAATAATGACCGGGGGTCATTAATCGACCTGTTAAAATGACCAACAGTTATTATTCTGTGGGTTTCATTATTCGTCCTTGCACCGGCCTTAAGAAGTATGTTGCTGAATTTTAGTTTACAGTGAAAAGTTAGTTACAACCTTAAACTATAGAGGAGTCTTTAAGGTGTTCAGGAAATTCATAACAAGACAAGAAATAAAAAATTTTGGCACACAGTAAACCCCAGGAGCATGCTTCTTTCTGAAACGTCGCCGCGTGGATCAGTGGTTAGAGCATCTGCTCTAGAGTCGACCAGTAAGGAGTTTATCCTTACGTCGCGGGTTCGAATCCCACGGTGGGACATAGAGACCGATCCTTCGGATGAGACCGTATAAACCAAGGTACCGTGCCGCAGTAGGTGCTGGCACGAAAATTATCCCTCCCTGCTCAATGACCCTAAATGCCGAGTATAGCACAAAATTTGCAGCTCTCTACCGGCACTTGTTGGCGTCTCCATATGAGTGAAAAATTTTCGAGTGGGACGTTTCAAAACATACAATTAATCGATCATTCAGACACAATGTGCCAAATAATGAGCGCTTCAAGTAGAATAGAAAAGCAATATGAACAGGAATAAAAAGAAAAAAATATAGTTTTTATCGGCCGAGGAGAGGAACGTAACAAGAACACTTGGACACCTTAGAACGGCCTATAACATTAGCTTGCAAAATTGGTTGTAACTCCGTTATCATTCAGACTGCAAGTTGTGTACTCACTGTAAAGGATCAGCACAAAATAAAACAGGAACCCATTTTTCGCTCACGAATTAAATAAAATCTATAGTTTAGAATGCTTCCAAAATGCACTCGATCTTTCATCTATTTTGCACGGTATTTCCATGGAGTTAGTTCTGGAAAATATAGTTACGCTTGTGCTTGCAATAGTATGGACTCTAGTTTTCATTTTGCATTTGAACTTACATTGTTCAAAGTCAAATGAAATAAAGCAACAAAGGTTTATAGGGAGATTCATCAATTTAAATAATTTATTGTGATCACAAAATGTCAACTATTTTACTACATGTAAATAAAAAAATGTTTTGTTTTTATTTTATCAAATGACATCTTAAAACAAATTGTAAACAATCATTTCAAAATTAGTGCAAAAAATTATTTATGTGTTCAATTATCAAAAAATAATTCCAACAACCCCTGATGTTAAAAATGTAATCCAGCTATAAAAACATTGGTGATTTTCTATACTTGTATGTGAATCGTAATCAGCAATTATATTTAGAAATAGTTAAGCTTATGTTTTATAAATTTCTGAGTTTAACACAAATACTCATAATAGCATCACCGTTCAAGGTAGCTCAGTCGGTAGAGCGCTCGCTCCGTGATCGGGAGGTCGTGAGTTCGTATCTCGGCTGCGACTGACCTAGTCGTTAAAATGGGTAGCAACTGTTCCTTCGCCATGCGTTCGGCCCTTTGAATTGAAAGTTGGGGGTCCTTCGGATGAGACCTTAAAAACCGAGGCCCCGTGTCAGCGGCAGTCGTTGGCACGATAAAGATCCCTCACTGCTCAATGGCCTTTATGAGAAAAGTATATTTGAAGGAACCTATAAACTAGTTTATAGGTCCCAAGTATTTGTTATTTGAACGTTGGCTTTTAAGGGTCGGGTTTGGTTGTCACATCAAGTGTAGTATATAAAAGGTCGGGTTTGATCTTCACATTCCTTTCTCTTGAACCTTTCGAAGGTAAAGACGCATAACAGTTGCGTGCAATAAAATACATGAAATGTTGTTTTGTAACTTTAAAAACCCGCCCTCCCACTACCTTTTTTTTATTTAGAATGTTCCATTTTCTCTAAGTAAAGAATGATATTCTGCTGCTGGTTTTTTGCTTTATTTTGCAGTGAAACAGCTTTGATCTGCTTGCCGAGATGAAAACCTTATACCCATAAAAAAATATCCTGGTGCTGTCTAAGCAGAAGTTCAAGTGAAGAATCTACCACATGATGCCCACATCAAGTCCATTGCCAGCCTTAAGGATTGTGCTAAACATGCGCTAAAGTGTCTCTGTGCAATAAGCGTACCGAATAGTGTTGCAAATTGTGAAACTTTCTATCGTTTACAAAATCAAATTGGTAGCATATAGTCGATCATAGGATTGATATTTTGAACTAAAAGAAACCGTCATGGCACTTTTTCAAGGAGAAGTCATTAGTGTGAAGCGTCTGCGCACACCAAGTCAACTGATAACTGAATGTTTGTGTGAAACTTGTAATAAACTGTCACCTTGTTGAAATGCTAATGCTAGTGTAAACTAAGCTAATAAGCTTACTCTTGTTGACAGTAATATATACTTTAGAACTGTATTACATCGTGCAGGTTTGAAATATGAAAAATGTTGATATTTGAAGTTTGAGATGTTTGATCTATGAAGTTTGAGATATTAATGATATATGATATACAAGATTTGATAAAAGAAGTTGATATGCTTGATATTTAAAATTTGAGATATGACTTATTGATTGATTGAATGATTGATTGATTGATTGATTTGAACAGTTTGTATGTATGCAGACCATTCGCGGTTAACCCGGGACGGTTAGAAACAAGAAACAAACATTGCTGATGTTTGAATTTGATGGGTACGCCCAATTGAAATGGCGTCCCACAATTTTGTATTGTGCCACGGCCAATACTCACCACAATGAATACATATAAATTCTATTTTGAGTTTTGTGTCATTTTTCTCTGTATAAGTAACAAGTCTTAGATTATATTTATAAGATAATATTTAGAATATTCAATATTACAAAATATTACCAGTAGATGTGTCTGTTTAAATAACTTATTACCGTTTTCCTTGTCCAATCAAATATGTCAGATTTTGAATTCTCCAGAAAGCAATCGGGCTCAGCAGTCGTTTCAAAGTCGCACATATCTTTATATGAAAGAAAGAAGAAAAACTCTTCGTATTTATTGTTATTATTGTTGTCTATGAAAAAGTGGGAAAAGAAATGAAAACAAGGTCATGGCTTATCACATTTTTATATCTTTTCATACACATATTGCTTAAGCCAATTTTGCTCATTTTACTTACATCCGTCTGGTATAGCCCTAGAGCCACAGTTAACAGTGGTTGGTTCTTGACACCTCATGTTTATGTCAGAAAACATTTGAGGAGCTGGACAGCGTTGAAGATGAGAATTTTTTTGGCCGCAATCATAATAAAAAGGACACAGTTCCAAGTCTTCGAAAACCAAATGTTTTAGGTTCCTACACAGATCCTGCACAGTCCAAGAAAGAAACCTTGAAGGAAATCGAGAGAAAACTAAGTATATTAATGTGTAGAATCAAATCATTTTCTCATTGTCCTAAAATGTTTCATTCATGCATGCAGTTTTCAAATTTGGGCATAAGTATTTTTTTTTATAATTCTATAAAGAAAACATAATACAATTTACCTTTTTGTACAACTTTCAGTTCCATTAGTTTGGATTTATATTCTGATAATTCCTTTGACATTTTTTCTTGCAAAACTTGGCTTTGATGTAATCGCATTCCACATTTATGCACGTTCTCTGTACATACTGATGATTTCAAAGTCTTTGTAAATGGTTCCTGGAACTTACTTTCATCGTCATAAATTGCTTGGGGATAAACAAAATGCACGCTATAAAACAGAAAAGGAAGTAGGCAATAAAGAAATAACATAACTGTGCTCACCATCGTGTAGAAATTATTATTTTCCAGGAAGAGAAGCAAGTTAGTAGTATATATTCCTCTTAATATTTAAAATAGTCATGTGATTTAATTTCATGTTTGAAATGAGGAAGTTATGATATTTACATCGAAAACTTTTTAATGGTCACGGTAGGTCAGTTAGTTGATCGGAAGGTCTCGGGTTTCGAACCACTGTAGCAAATGGAATGAATCTATTTAAAAAAATAGGTACATGTAGCAACTGTTCCTTTTCCAAGTACGGGGCACTATGAAACTGCTCCCTGTTCTAGTATATTTGACAGTGTATTTTACCCAGCTTTAGATTGGTTTCGTTATCATTTCTTTAAGTTCATGTAAAATATCTGGTCTTCACGTCTTCATCCTAAAGAAAAAACCAAAACCATTTATTTTCAATAAGGAATAAAGAAAAATAGAGGATGGGAAATTACGGAAGACCATAAAAGGGCTTTTAAAAAAAATCTTGAAAAAGGATTTAATAAATTATGACGGGAATTCGTAACAAAGACAAAAACAAATGGTTGAATGTAATCTTTTAAGGAAAACTTAAAAACCAAATAAATTGGGTATAGAAATTATATAAAGTGCATATGGTTGTTTGAACGCAACTATGTGATTTTCTGTGTACACTAACTTTAAAACCAAAGTAAGACATTTAAAATATATTGAAACAATTTCAGTACAATCATATCGGAAGTATGTATCTTTCGCATCAAGACGGTTATATATCATGCACTTATGTTGTCTTTGTCAGTTTTCTGCCAACTGTTTTTGTTAAATGTAAGTGGTACTTATGAAAACATTTATCAAGAGTTCAGAGGATTTGCGTGGATATTTGGGAATCTATATGAGTAATAGCACAATGTAAGGCTGTTTAATCTGACTACAAAAACAGGGGTAAAAATAAAGTAAGTTTAAAATATCTATGCTTTGCCTTTTAAATGAGTAAGAGGACTTCAATTCATATTTTTCATAGCTGCTGAACTGTAGTTCTCTGCTTGAGAAAATTCGGAAAGATAAAGCAGAGAACTACAAATTCAAGCGGGATAAAAACATTCGATTTACGCGTACGTTATTTTGTTGCTAACTTCGGGTATTTTTTTCTTGTATTTAATTCTCTCTCCAGATTTAAAGATTGTATTTAATAATTAATCATACATTTAATTTTAATTTTTGATAATTTACGTACCTTTCACATGTGTTTCAACGCTTACAAAAGGTCGTTTGTGGTAACAGACTTCCAAATAGAACTATTTTAAACCAACATTACAAAACTATTTACAGGACTGTTTCGGACATTTAAAAGGTAAATAAAGTATCAAAACAGAGTTAAATATATGAATAATTATAGGGTACCATTTTAAAAGCCAGAGAAAGCTTAAACTACATACAAAATACTCGAAGTAGCGACAAAACAATTGTCTGCATAAATCTAATTTTTTTTCAACGCTTGGATCTGTGCCTTTCTGCTTTATCTGTCCGATTTCCAAAGCAGAGGGTTTCAGTTCTTCAACTATTTTTTTCTATGAATATACATTATTCTATATTTGATAAGCGAAGCTTAATCTTTGAAAGGAGAATTGGTTTTTCAGATAATTTTCTTTAAAAGTTTTACAGATTTTTTTAATTTTTACACAGTATCGATTTTGTATACATGTATGTAAGCGAAAAGTGCAATATTTGTATCCAAATGAAACAAAAAGAAGGGGAAATGATAAATGTAACTATGTTATATTATTATTTGAACAGTGATTCATACCTTAAAATCGCTTACACCATATGACTCTTATGTGCAAGATATTTTAAGGTTATTTATTGTATGTTTATATAAAAAAAACAACTTCTGACTTAGATCTCACATCATAAGGATTTAAAAAGCTTGGAAAGACACAAATTTTTGATAATGCATAAAGTAAGATTTACAGCGGCATTTTGCATTTTCAATTAACATAGTAACAGGTAATTTGAGTATAATTAATGGGAAAGTCGAAAGTCTTGAATACTATTCTTTCAAATTTCATTTTTTTTCATCAATCCCATAGAGATTTTTCCATAATTATCTGACTGAGCAAGTGAAAATTTAATTAGATTTCATTTTAAGCAACAAATATTAAGTGTCAATAAAATACATGTAAGTTAAACAAGAAATCAAACACGGATTACAATATATCCCTCATCAGCTTTTGAAAATATTTGTCAATACAATCATATCGATAGTTTGTATACTTTACTAAATATTACATCAAGAGGGTTATATATAATGCACTAATGTTGTCTTTGTTAGCTATCTGCCAATCGGTTTTGTTAAATGTAAGTGGTACTTATGAAAACAAATTAATCTCAAGAGTCCTAAGGACTTGCGTGGATGTTTGGGAATCAATATGAGTAATAGCATAATATAAGGCTGTTTAATATGACTACCAACCCCCCCCCCCCCCCAAAAAAAAAAAAAACAGAGGTTAAAAATGAAGTAGTTTTATACATGTAATATATATGCATTGCATTTTAAATAAATTAGTGGACTTCGATTTACATTTTTCTATGAATATGCATAGTTTTTAATTGGATGAGAGAGGCATGCACTTTGTAAAGAGAAATGATTTTGCAGATTTTTTTTTTTGCAAAGTTTTACAGGTTAAACACATGATCAAATTTTTTTCACTTAAAAAAAATCTGCATTAAGATACGCCCGATCATTTCTTTAGTTGAAGTGCAAGTGCAAGTACACAACATTCGGGTTAGTGTCAAAACATAAAAAAATTCGGAGTGTGAATCACATTTACTCAATTTCAGTCCCCCTTTTCCTCTGAAAATGATGCGGTTGTGGTCATTGTTTAGATAATGTATACCCCAACCAGAACCAGCTTAAAAGATAGTCAAGCGCATGCACAAAAAAATCACCAAAAATGCGTTGCAACACACGCACAATTCAGGGATTAAACGTTAGATTCTTTCCGTTTTTTACTGTGCCAAATTTTTTGCTGTTATTGATAGCGTCGATAAAGGGAGAATGACCCAGCGCTGACTGGTCAGTTACAGACAGCATCGAAACACGTGATTATGATGGACATCTCTGATTGGCTAATTGTCTACGAAAGGGTAAGGTTTGACTTTGGAAAATATTGGAGTTGCGTAACAAGCAGCCGAAACTGAAGAACTGGGGGAAATTACATAACATGGCACCTGACGCTTGCAAGGCCTTGGAGAATTCCAGTAAGTGGAGAAAAATCAAAACATTAAGTCTGAACAATAAAATAGAACATCTACTTACTTACATTTATATATAAGAAATTAAACAGCATTGTAAACATAAATGAAATTATTTACATAATTGAGGTTTGTTTGTGTATAGATATGTAGTACACCTTATGGCTAAAATGTCTTTCCTGTTTTCCTGTCTCTGATCCAAAATTTGTTGGTTTCCTTATACTTATCATTTTAAATAACCATAACACTTACAATACACTCATGTATACTCATATACTAGTTGTGAGTGTCATTTGTTTCATGTTAAGGTCAGACATATAAACTATAAAGGTCCGTGAAATAAACAAAAAGAACCAATTTGGGTTTTTTTTTGAGTAACTATGAGAAGGGTCTAAGAAAAACTGTCAAGTTTAGAATATGGTGTAAATATCAAACTTTAGAAGAGATCTTTCAGTTCTACGCAAGGTAATTATCTCTCAAAATAAATGTATTTCAAAGTAATGATACATGATATGTCCATCATGCTGTTCACAATCCCAATATTTTTTATTTTGATTTCCTAATAGATTTTGAACGATCAATTCATCTACGATATTCATGCATTTTATTTTGAGACTTTAAAATCAATAGAAAATTTTACAGCGTGAAAGGCATCTTTTTCCACATATCAAAATCACTCAAATTTATTCTTCCGCAATTTTGATAATGAAGCACAACTTATACACACGCATTTTTTACTAACTAGAGATAATTTTGAAGCAATTTTCAGATCAGTGTTTATAGTTATCACGCTTTAATTACTTTCACATTAAATTAATTCTGTAAAAAGAGGACAACATAAATGTACATTTTAATCATAAGTAGGTGTAGAAGTTAAAAGTTTCAATGTTAAAAATTAAGAAACAATTCCCTTGGGATAACAGTTTCTATTTCCTCGTATTCCAAAAAAAAAGACAGATGGTGTCGATAAAATCATTTAAATAGATGGAAAAAATTAGAAAAATCTTGATTTGTATCTTTAATTTCTGCATCCGTCCTATAACAGAAATCATACGGACAAGAAAGGAGACAATAGTGGAGGAAAACATTTGAAATCATTGCTAAAAATCAAGGAAGTATACATAATTATAGAAATTCTTATTTTGATTGGGCATGGACAACATTGCAACTACTGTATTTTTTGCCAATTATTATGTTTACAATATTGCAAACTAAGGCATGCAATATAATGATGAGTAAAAATGTGAACATTATTTGTTGATTTAGAAACTCCGGAGATACAGAACTTAAATTCTGCATAATGTAAACAAGGCTTGTTTCTTGTTTTTGTTTACAAATAGAACATGTTAAGTTTAT